GCTCTGTCAATTTGCCATGCGTCCAGAGTCTCGCTCGCTCAAGACCCTGGCCCTTATCGAACAGAACATCGATTCGTTGCTTACTATCTCGAAAATCTTGTCATCGCTGAGACAGTTGGAACGATTCAAGTTCGTCCAGAGCAACAAGAACCCTACGCTGAACGCCGATGGGATTGTTTTTCAACCGCTTTTCGCCTCTGCGACGCTTCGATATTTGCATTGGGACGTTACAGGACCCGACTCTGCCGCCGGGCTCGGCAGGCTCGATTACGCTCCGTTTGTGAAGCCACCGCGACATACAGAGTCCCCGAATTCTCATCTAGCTCAGAGTATTCTGTCTGTGGGCTTCCCTCGCCTTGAAGCACTGCGAGCACCCTCGGATATAGAACCTCCGGGAGTCCTTCAGGCTGTATGCCAGCCGATACCACGCGGGCAAGCACTGCTCAAGCCAGACCGTTACAGCCTCCCCCGTAGCTCCCACGGCTCTGTTACGACCCGACCAATGGCCCTGCCCGCCGGGAACAACTTGACTTCTGCTCGGATACGAGCGCAGACTTTTATTGATATGGCAGCGAAGGACACGGAAACCGGAATGCGGCTGCTCATCACTGATCACTCGGACTCGTACGTTCCAGACAATGCATTGGACGAACTTTCCGATGATGGCTCTGATCTGGACATGGACGAGTTCGGCATAGGTGGTGTGCAGCCTAAGAATGATGTGTTACCCGACGATCACGAAGGTCCGGCCACCGTGTATGACTTCCGGATGCCAGCCTTCATGGGGAGGATAGGCTGTAGGACAAGTGAGAAGGACATCTTAATTCCGCGATTTATCCTTCGTCCAGACATACCAGGGCAGGATGGTGATGGAGGTTTAGTTGATTGGAAACATGTGCTGGCCTCCAGCCAGTCCCTTACATATGCTGCTGGAGTTGGAGTAAATTGCTTTGGCGGCAAGGGCCACGCGAAACCGGCGCCCGAAGAGCCGCTATCGCCGACCTCAACTACAACCTCACGCTTTGGATGGGGCAGCATCGGCAGTCGGTCCGCGCTGGGCACCAGTCCAAACACCCCTACAACACCAGCGACGCCGATGAGTCTTTCGTCTACGACGGCACTCCCTTGGGACCGAGATACCTGCACCGGATCATGGAATTATAGCCACAAAAGTGGAAGGGACTGGTGGTTCCACATGGAACGAGACCGCCCAGGAAACGTCGAAATAGTTGACGTTAAGCGACTATTCTAGTCAGGTTGATGTACATCACCGGTGACGTGCATTTGATTTTACCTTTCATTGGTACTTTTATTTTTCTCAAGATTGGCATGCTATGGTACATGCTATCTGTTGGTATACACGCAGAAACGGCGTTTACGGATTGACGGATGGATGGACGATCTCATCAATTGTGGATATTTTTTTTGGTTCTTATTTCTCTGGACATTTTCTGGCCTCGACATACCCGGTGCAGCAGGGGTTATTACCATCTCTATCTCATTAATTGGCATCTCTCTCTCTCGTGTCTTGGTGGTTCACTCACCGCATGAATTCCTATCATCTGGGTCATCTCCGTCTAATAGTGTTTGGCACCGGCGTGAGCAACGCAATTACATAATGCTGCAGCTCTTGTTTATTTCGTATATCCATGTGTCTTCGTTTGTACAGCTTATCATCTGGGGGTGGCATTTGTCGAGTTCACATCTTGTTTTCCTGTATATTTACAGTACTTACGATCAGACTGATCAGTATATATACCTAGTGCGTAATGCATAACTATGGACATCCAACACGAACTGACATTACTTTCACAGTAAATAGTAGATGATAGATGAGCAATATATTCTCAGAGAGGTACCATCTTCACAACAAGTGGTTTATATATATCATGAAAGAAACAGTAAAGATTCCCTCTCCCCTTCTTCTCACTCCACAAGGTTACTCCATCACCTACCTGCAAAGGATGGAAGTAAGACTGGACGACGCACAATCTACCATTTCAATGTTACTCCGTAAATAAAAGAATGATACATACATACATACACAAAACGAAAAAGAATGAATCAAATTGAAAAAGTGAAAAAGAACGAAGAAAATAAAAATAAAATAAAAAAGAGGAATGGGGCAAGCCGGGCTTGAACCGGCCACCTCCAGATCTTCAGTCTGACGCGCTCCCAGATGCGCCATTGCCCCATTGGTTGATACTTTGGCAACGAAAGAGTGCTATATGAAGCTAGACATATTATAGAGAAGAAAGTTACTTTTGTGCAAAGGTATTTGGAATGGAGTATAGAGTTAGGGCGTTGGTCTCTTTAGGGGTACTTAGGATGATAAGTGGTTAATGAAAGGTTATGTGGGTAGGAAGGGAAGTCCATTGACTTTTCCCTGTCGGATAATGGAACAATGAGGATTGAAAAGAGATAGAATGAAAAATGTTCTAGTTAGTATTTGTCCTTGTTTGCTTTCCACAGATAACTTTCTCTTTGTCTATCTCTTGGCGCGGGCAAGTTCATAATAGAATGGTATCGGAAAACATGTGAAATGTAGTACTAAGTCCATCATTACGCAGGAATGAGATATTCTGTAGTGCTATCCCTACTAACCATGTCCGGGACATATCAATACCTCACCAAGTTAGTGGGCATGAGTCGATCGATCGATCTGTTCCATATGCCTGCTGTAGATATCTCTAACCCTGACCCCTCCCTCATATTGTCAAAACCCTAGACAATGATCGCTAATCAAGGGGCAATGGCGCATCTGGGAGCGCGTCAGACTGAAGATCTGGAGGTGGCCGGTTCAAGCCCGGCTTGCCCCATCCTTTTTTGTTGTGAATTTTTTTTTCTTTATCTCTACGATTTTTGACTGTGGATAATTTGCATATTGTGGGTGGAGGAGATGTTGTGGGGTTGTTGTAGATTGCGCTAGCTGTACATGGTTAGTCAATGTTCATGAGAGTTTCTGGTCGATTATGTAATTCGTTAGTTGGTGGGTTGGCTGTATGCTGGTGAGGGAAGATTCCTTTCCTGTGAAGGTTACAGCATTATCCATTCAAAGACAATGTTCAAACTCAATTTGTGGGGAATAGTTTGCCTTGGAGTATGTCAGGGAAGGACAAGTGTCGAAGCAGTCGCGTGGGTGGGGTGACATTGTAGAGCGGATTTCGCCGGTTTGGGAACTTCTTGAGGCTGAGGTGGATGTAGAAAGTAAGAAGCAATTGAGTACTTGCTTTGGAGGCATGGTAGACAGATATACCATAAAATGAGGTGATGAGCAGTACGTGGTTTTGTTTAACATGTTGCAGAGCCTGATTGTTTCGGTTGGATTGTTCCTAATCAACTTCATGGCTTCCGAAGGACTGGGCAGGGAACGAGCAGTTTAGGCATTTGCGTACGGGGCATATCTGCGTCAGTTGCAATACAGTAAACTGAAAAAAGATACATTCTAGTCAATTTCAACATTTAGATGCATGTCAATGTCATCATATCGATCTTGGTGCAAATACCATTAGTAGCAGACAGTCGACGGTACCTAATGTTAGTAAATGCCTCAGTCTACAGCCGTACCAGCCAACTCAAATTCGCAATCACCCATGAATAACACCACTATAGTATGTTGAAAATAATCCCAGAATAAAAAGTTCAAGAAAAAAAAATAACATATAGTGCGAAAATCTCACACTCAGCGGATTCGCTGCATAATGTATACTTTGACATTTGCAAAAGGGCCTACAAGAATATTAAAAATACACAGTATTTCACATAATCGGGGCAATGGCGCATCTGGGAGCGCGTCAGACTGAAGCTTTAACTTCGGCCCACAGGCTTCGTCCGAAAGGATGTCTCTGTAAATCTGAAGGTGGCCGGTTCAAGCCCGGCTTGCCCCATTATTTTTTTTTCCGTTCTTTTTGGTCACGGATCGGTTTCGCACCATCATCCACTTCAACGTAATCTTCTTCTTTCTGGGTCAAACCTCATTATCTTTTATTTGTTTATCATTTTTGTCTCTTCTTTAAATTCGGAATTTTCTTACGCCGCCCTTTTATTTAGTTCAAGCCCCTCAAATCTCCTCGATTATTGCATGTTCTCTCATCTACTTACCTCACAGATAATCTAGCCACCCCTGACTTGATGACGGTCTAAAGCCGCTATCCAATATGCTTTTCTTAATACTTTTGACATTCTTACGGACATTCGCGGCATGAATATTCAGAAACCTTGTTTTAGAGCCGTTGTATGTCTTTGGTCATGCGGACGTCCAGTCTTGGATGCACACAAACAGCAAGAGCTTAGCTTGATTCATGTACTCACATTTCGAATAACTTATTTCGTGATATTATGAAAGTGGCACATGTTGGAATCTCCAGATGGTTATGATGCTTTCCCTTCTTCTATTTCCGTCTGGGCTGCCACGAGAAGTAAATCAAGGGCGAGGTAAAGAGGGAGTGTGCGTCTACTATACGAATATGTAAAGACAGGGCCGTGACTTGTTCTCACAATTCCACATTGATGGCTGGGAACACCCACTGCATATCTACTGAGACACATGATAAAGGCTTGTGCATACTTTATGCTATTGCTTTCATGTGCTGCTGATCTGAGAGCAGGTACTGCTGATGGTCATTCACGTCTGCACAGCAGTAGATCAGTAGGGATCCCCCGACATCTTGGATGCGACTGCTGCACCTACCATTCAAGGCACAAGTTGAGGCAATGGCTTTTCAACATAGGAAGAGTTTCCATCAAGCCAAATGGAATGAAACAAGCAGAAGGAACTCGGAAAGTCCATGTACACCTGATGTAAACTCCATGAATTTGGATAACTAGCTTTAGGCACGCTGGGATATAAATCCATCACCATCCCCATTCATAAATAGACGCAAGAGGTCATGACATCCAGCAGCGAGTGAACGAACTACAACCCAAAAAGACCAGCATCTGATACTGATTGGGATAGTTACTCTTCAACACCACTACACCACCCTTGTCTCATATTCAAGATGGGTTGGAAATCACTGTTCCCGCCCCCTAAGCACTTCGGTGAGCGACGGCTCGAATTTGGATCTCAGATAGACAAGTTATTGGATCATGCTAAGATTCCCTACGTGGCCTGCGGAGATTTAATGAACATGCATTACCAGGAAGAGGGCATTGCGACTGTAAGGCAAACCAACCATATAATAGACTGAGAAACAAATTGGACAAGGCTAACTGATCGACAATAGGCACGTGTTATTTGCTTCGTGGTTCCAGACGATCGCCTGGATGTCACTATACGAGCGTTGCGAGTTGCTGGTTTATCCGAGGATCCTTGTACTGCTGGGAACGCTGGTTGCTGCTGGGCTAAAATCCCAACTTATTACCCTTATCCGCTCCCGTGGCCTGCCAAACACTTCCATCGCTATGTTAAGGGAAGACTTTTCGACGAGAAAGTAACCGTGTGCTACTCTGTCGGTTTGCTTCGGAAGTCCCAGTGGCTCTGGCTCATGCCCGATCTTCCCCTTGAATTTCCTGAGCCCAATGACCCTAATTTCATTCTCTCTACAGACCGCCGTCTTCCTGATTGGGATACGGATGGTTTCGGCAACTCCTTCTATCCCATAAAGCTGCTCACTCCGGCGCGTTGGATAGAGTCATTGTTTAGCCTGCATATCAGAGATTTGAGTGTAGATCAACATTTTGACGAACGCTGGTACCATCATGTTGTGGAGTTTCATGCACGACTTGCAAGACTACTTCCTCCGGAGCTTTTTCATATTGACCTCATTCGACAACCTTTTCGCATCTTATATATAGAGGAAACGGACAGGCGTAACACATTGAACTACAAGCACTTGAAGTTGATGGACAGGTTGTGGGAAGAATGGCAGGAAGCTGGTTCTATGCCAGACCCCATTTACCCGTTCAATATCGAAAGGTATAAGAAGGATATCAAGGAGAACAGAAATGTGTGGTTATATGAAGAATGGATTGATGAGATCATGTCCAGTTAAATTCCAGAGTCGATCTTTCACTTACCCACGATACCTTCCTCCTTTCCGCTCTTCCCACCAGAAGATGGTTCCATCGAGAGCTTATCGAACAGAGGGGCTAGATGGGGTGAGCTTAGGCTTCAGAAATCAAATGTATCATTTTAATATAGAGCATGATTACTTACCAGGTTGTTTTCTAGAAATTAGTGATCCAGATGCCTGCCCTTCCCTTTGCGTCTATCCTTAGTAATGAGTACACTTCCTTTTCCTGGTTTGTCCCTGAAGAGAAAGTAATGAAACCCACTTTCCCAGCTTCTTAGTAAAAAGTCAGAAGAAAAAAAAGGATGAGACAATTAGAGAATCGAATGGCATATGCTAAATAACGAATGGATGTTGTATGCACTACTATATCACTTCAGCTGTAGCGCTTTCCCGGTCAGAGATACTACTTTGTACTGAACACATAGCTGCGCGACACCATAGGCATTCTGGCCCTGTCTTGACGTAATGTTACAAAGATACCACCTGCTCACTAAATCCGCCAAGCGAGTGGTTAATACACCAGAATCTATTATATCTGATCTAGAAGGTGTATGTGTCAAAACAAGCAACTGTGGCACGAGATTATGGTGAGGACCGGAAAATATATCCGCACTTGGGGCTTGGTGAACATGGCAGGCATTGCTAGGGTCTATCATGGCCTTCGGGGTTGTCATATTCCTAAGTATTCCTAAAAGTGGACGACATCATGATTAACATTTGCTTAACTCTGAATTACCGTGTACTCTTTCATGAAATGGCTCAGAGCCTGCTTGGAAGTAGTCGGCAGTCCTCTCTCACTCCTTGTCATCTCTGCACGTATCAAGACCATAACAAAAGTAGGCCAAGGGAAGGTGTGCTCCTTGTTCGCTTCCCACCTTGGAGTCTCTTCACCAAGCTCTTTCTGTGCCTGACATTGTCTTAACAAGTGATTAGGAAGTACTAAACCAGCCCTTGTTGTTATTCAAACCCTACTCCTATCACTTGCCGTCTCCCCACAGCACACACTATGCTAACCCCTGCAAAAAGCAACCCACGAACAAACCAGAAGCACTCAAATACCGCTAACAAAGACTTAAGTAAGTTACCAGGGTACAACGCTGTTCTGCTTGCTTATCATTCTGGGCTTCCCATTGATGATCCTTGCTAGGGAACTACTGCTAGTAACCAGGAGTCTCCACTGGTCATTGCCACAGGCTTAAGTTTACATGGCAGGGTGGCAAACGCGGAAGACAGATTCCGATCAGATTCTGTTGGAGGTTTAGATAATAAGTTAAGTAGATTGACTAGGGACTCTCTGCCTATCGCGTTGCTCGAGCGGGCTGCTGACCGAGATCTGACACACTGACCGTGAATATAGGACTGCCCTAGATCATATGTTCTGGTAGACTTGAAGATTGGACAAAGATAGAGATTGTAATCAGAATTGGGCAAGGGATGGTCCGTGGTGATTACTCGTTTGGGTGGGTGCTAAAGGTGGTTGGCGCCCAGTGCTCTCCTTTTCGAACGGGCCAGACACAGGGTTCATACCAATCCATAGCAGACTTGGAGACAAACAACGGCTCCATCACCACGTGTACAGTCAGTAACTAGACAGACAAGACAATCTTTCGCGCGGCTGCCGGGTAATGCTTCCGGTAGCAGAGACAGCAGTTGAATTTATTAGACGGCTGACTCCGTCTCGCCCGTCGACCCACCCTCTCAACCATGGAGCACCAGCTGTAGCCAAAGACGCTTATGCGCCAAAAGCACGTCTGTACATACGACAGTCAGGAGAAAAAACGGCTAAAACAGAGAACTTCGTGTCCCAAGGATCCAATTTCCTTGATTTGCTCCATGCCTCTGTCCCCCCTCTCTCCCCTCATGGGGCCGAGTACCTGGCTCCTATTACGGAGATGGAGGGTGGGGACGACTTCAAGCTCGGTGGTTCTGTCAATTTGGGGCCTTATCCCGAACTGACACGGCAGGCCATGGCTTTATAATGTTGCATAATAACTGTTTCACTGCAGGTCATGATCATAAACGCTCATCTGTTCTTCTTTCTCTGTCTCAGAACCCAGAACACTATCCGGATAACATGGAAGGCTTCAACCGCTCCGAGTTTCTAGGCACGGTATTCGAGTCTACAAAGCGGTATGTTCAGCTAGCAGTAACTTGACGCTAAGGAATAAGTCTGACCTTGACCGTAACTCTGTTGGGTAGATATGGAAACTTGCAACCCATTGGCTTGGGGGTGTATGGCCTTGTTTGGTAGCCTTTGCCCTGTTTTTTCTTGATTTCTACTGGGAAGGGGGAGAGAGAGTAATTGTGAGTGAGTGAGGGTGAGTGAGGATATGGCTGACATTTCAATCCAGCTCGGCACATGATCAAATTACGGGACAGGCAGTCGCCATCAAAAAAGTCATCAAGCCGTTCGAGACTGCCACAGTGGCAAAGCGTACTTTCCGAGAGGTGAAACTCTTGAAGCATTTTCGACACGAGAATGTATGGCGGGCCCTATCCATCTACCTTCAAGACGCCTTCTTCATTCTGACGATCTACAGCTCATCGGTCTTTGTGACATTTTTGTCTCTCCACTGGAGGACATGTAAGTACCCACAAACCCTCCATGCCATCACACTGGCACTGACCACTATCTCTCAGATATTTAGTGACTGAACTCCTTGCGACGGATTTGAATCGGTTGATGAGATCTAAACCCCTGGAACCCCAGTTTGTCCAATACTTTACCTACCAGATCTTGGTAAGTCAGCGGAGTGGTAACCCCAACAGAGTACCAATGCACAGAAATGACTAACTTAGCCTCCATAGCGTGGTCTGAAGTACATCCACTCCGCCGGCGTTATCCATCGGGACCTCAAGCCTAGCAATATCTTGGTTAACGAGAATTGCGACCTGAAAATATGCGATTTTGGGCTCGCACGAGTGAAGGAACATCAGATGACCGGCTATGTGTCTACATGCTATTATCGAGCACCGGAAATCATGCTGACATGGCAGAGATACGGCGTGGAGGTAGACCTCTGGAGTACTGGGTGCATTCTCGCCGAGATGCTCTCTGGAAAGCCCTTGTTTCCCGGGAAGGACCGTATCAATCAATTCTACTTGATTATCGACCTCTTGGGCAACCCTCCTGATGAGGTCATCGATCGAATTTGCAGTAAGAATGTACGTTTCGAGAAACCACCATTATAACAGTCCCATGCTCACCTGAATGATAGACGGTACAGATAGTCAAGTCACTTGGGAATAGACAGCCACGCTGTCTAAAGACAATGTTCTCGAGCGTCGATGAAGCTGGTATGTGATGTTCTGTTCAGGCATGGCATGGATGATGGACTGCCCTACTTACCGAAATCTTGCTGTACAGCCGTGGACCTCCTCGACAAGTTTTTGGTCTTCGACCCACACGCCAGGATATCGGCCAGCAGTGCTCTGGAGCACCGCTATCTGCAAATATATCATGATCCCACTGATGAACCCAGCGTTGAGAGACCATTCGATGGGTCGTTCGACGGCGCCCGACTCTCCAAGGAGACCCTCAAGCTTATGATGCACGTCTCCCTGGTGACTTTACTCTATGCGTACTATCTTCTAACACAGAGCATGCAGATATGCAGAAGTGCTGGATTACCACCAATCCGACGAATTAGCCCACCCAGTTACGCTTGCTGAAGAGCCAATGTCCGGAGCTGATCTACTCCCGAATATCAGCACATTTCCCGTGCCAGGACGGGAGACCGATACAAACCCGGACTCCACGCTTAGCCTCTTGGAGCCTTGGTCCACGTGGGACTTTGGAGGCCTTGACCTATCATTACCAGCATCAGATTACGTGGATCCAGCTGGTCCTAGTTTACCGACAACAATCGGGTGAGCATAAAAACACCAATTACAAGGTTAAGCCCGGGGTCGAGCGGATTCTTTAGGTTCGATACCCCGAAAGAAATATCTAAATGGCATGATGAAATCTTTTACTCTTCCTTCATCCTTCCCCGTTGAGAGTACCGGATTATATGGAACAGATTAGGAGCCACATCCTGGCCCGCGCGTTGTATTGGCGTCGTGCACATTTCCCAACTTAGTAAAAAGCGAAATACCTCTCGTCTGAGGGTGCGAGCAGACAGTGGCCATACTAGTGCCTCAAAACGGAATAGTATGGGTCTTCAATACTTGATGACGGCCTTTCCGACGGCCAAAGCCGTCGTACTCTCAAATCCGCGGAGTTGTGCGAATCTTCTTTGACGGGCATATTCTGGAGCGTTTTTGGTTATTCCGGTCATGCATCAGGCATCATCAACGATATTATGTACTGAGTCGGAACTAGGGCGTTCGACCGCATGATTCGCCGGAAAAACAAGCGTTGGAGTGATAATTCATTCCATCGCGAACGTCGCAGCACGCATCGATCTTTGGGAAGATATACGGAGATGTGGACAGCCAAACTAGCCCAGTTCAATCGATTATAGTAAAGAACCCACCGCTGACCAGATTAACGCCCCGGCCGAAGGTGTCCGAAGGATAGACACCGCTCCTTGCCTCATTTAAGTCTAGTTGTGTTCATCTGAACTTAACTGGTAAAAGCATCACTCGCCACCTTGGTTACCAAGTGCTTATTAACCATAGGCTGTTCACTTAGCCAACTAGCTGACAGGCGATGCCACGGCACAGCTCAACCGTCTAACAGGATAATTTCCATAGTAGCTCACAGCTGACTTGGCTGGCTAGCAGAATCAGCCCTTAGTAAGTGGTTGCGGTGTACACAGTAAGTAAATGGACCTTTTTCCAATGGCCTCGGCAGTCCCAGGGGGGTGGCAAAAGGCACCCAGCCAAAAGAGTGTGTATTAGAAAAGGCCTCCCACGCAGATCTCGTACGGTGGGGCTGACTAGGAGATAGGCCATCAGATCTATCTAGTCTAGATCTACTCTCTACAGTTTGAGAGCCTAAGCGAGGTGGGGAGTGGAGACGGTCATGCCCGGTGTGCACTGGGCCACCCGTTATCTGACTCTGGGAACCACCAACGAACTAGTCTATCCCCACCACTTGCACACACTCACACTATGTTAGTCACCCCTTGTTGAGTATTTTTACTTGACTGACGGAGAGTCATCACAGTTAAGCCCCGTTTGTTGACTCCACTGTCAGGTGGCAATGTTCGCTCTGCCAATTCCGTCTCGTCCATCTAATTTTTGACTGTCTACCACGGGAATAAAAGCAGTAGTTTAGTCAAGTCAGTACTCGTACTCAATAACTAGACGAGCGTCATGTCTTATTCTCCACTGACTTCAAACGTTCAGCCCTGGTGGATGAAAAGTGCACTTGAAGTACGATAGCATGCTGGCGGCTCTGTCAGCCTCTGTGGCCGCCAACAAGGGCACCCAAGGCGTCGTAAAGCTCTCATAATATCTTCCTTCCATGTCTCTCCTTTGATGTGGAGACATCACCATAAGTTTACCTGCATGACAAAACAGCACGCTCTTAGCTGCCTTTCACTTCAGCTACCCAGGGAGGATGGCCTGCATATATGCTGATATGCCTCAACAGAAGAACGGTTTCCTGATTCGAAAAGCTTGTGTACGTATTGTGAGCATCCTTCGGTGCAGGAAGCCGTCTTCGGAAGTCCCGAAGCTCAGTATCTGCTACTGTGCCAGCCCCACCGATAATACCTACTCAGAAGATGCTAGTACTGAGCCCCTTGGAACCACCGTCTCGTCTGTACGGGGTAAACGCCCTTCTCCCCTGTCTGACTGAGGTAGGGCTCGGCAGTACTCTTCCGGCCAAACATCCAAGAGTAACAGACTCTATCACAGAAGATATCTGATCTTCCCACCGTGGTTGCTATCAAAGTGTGGGCAGGCCACACGGGCACTCTGCATTTTGACGCTCCTTGGGGATATTACTTCTCATATTGTGGAAGTGGACCTTTTAGCTGCACACAGCAAATTCAACCACCTCCAATGGGTGATGAGACGGCGAACGATACGCACTCGTAGATGTCATCATACGACGTTCAGCTTTCTGTGGTTTTCGGACCTGATACCTGGTCGGGCAATCTTCTCCCTGTCTCCAACACTGCAAGAGGCTTAGCGGACTCAGAATTGCTCGGGCCCGAGATCGGCCAACCAATCATCGCTACTGGTTAAGTACCACTTTTCAATTGTCACCTGCAAAGATTGAAATACTACTGCTTATTCACATTGTACTATTATTTGTCTGGTACTAATTAATCTTCCTTGCTCATTAGCCAATCCACCTGGGCCAAATGCATCCATCTATCGATGGGTATGGATCGGCAAATACCACGAGGGGTCCACATGATAAGCATCCACCTTTGTATTACTCACTCATCCTGAGCCTACTGTGTAGTTAACTATGGTTTAGGACTAAATCCCGCCTACTCCGTTAACCCCTCTTGAACTTACCACTAGACTATGCTATGCCATGGCACATGGCCTTCCTATAAGTGAAACACTTGAGCATAATTTCCCCCGTGGAGACCACATCCCCACCTGAAAACCGGAGACCTCCACTATCTGGTCTCGACCTCGATCCACAGACTGGCTGGACTTTCCGCATGAAGACGTCCTTACTACAACCACGTTCAATGTAGACCAAGATAGAGTCTATCCACTACAACTTGCTAGGAGTATCAAAGACATTGACTGATCTCTACATCGCAATGGAACGTCTTTCATCTACGGCAGCGAAAGCTCCCTTGTCGCAAACAAATGTGTATACCAAGGAGTGACATTTCTGATGCAAATAAAAGCTGGTATGCTAGCCATCATAGCAAAAAGTGTGTCATAATGACGAACACCCATTTCGTCCATGTATTGTGCCTTTTCTCAGGAGCCTGGGTTTCCCGAAGGAAAAGAAAATAGAGAACAATGATGAACGCCATTACACCAACGCCAACACACCAAGAACGCCAGGGCATGACATATGACGGAGGGAGGTTGGAAGACAAAGTATTAGGATTGTTCACAAGGGGCTCATCTTCCACCCCGTCTGCAAGATCATCCTCTCCGTCCATGGACTCATCTTCCACCCCGTCTGCCAGCTCATCAATATGGAGATGGAGGGCCGCACGCCACTCTTCACGCGTCCTCATCTCATCTTTTCCTCCCAGATCTATGAGCCTTGTCAGCTTCGCCTCCAGAGCGTTCCTCTGCCCATCCTCCCACCTAAACTGTGGATCAAGCCTTTTGGCTAAGTTCCACACCTGGGAGGATTTGATGATTGTTTTAGTCTCTGAAGGCAACAAGACCTCCATCAAAATGACGGAGGGGAGGTCAGCAAAGGGAATCGCCTCTCGCGGAACATATTGCAGCTGGTGTACTTTCCCAAAAGCCTGGTAGCAAATTTGAAGTTTGAGGTCCCTAGCCGTGGGCGACAGCTGCCGTGGGGATACAGTGTCCAAGGTGCAAGGGATGAGATTGGAATCTTCCACTTTCATATAGAAAGAGCAGCCGTCAGCATTCGACATATTCGACATTGAAAAGTATCCGGATTGGTCGAATATGAGGTCCCCCCGGAGCGTGACTGGCGGAAGTTTTGTGTTGACGAGTATTTCGATTTTCTATTACACCACAGTGAGAAAGCTTTTCAATCAAATAGCTAGGGGTGACAGAGATGGGTAACCGAATGGAGAAGGTTTTCATACTTCCAGTGACCTGTCTTTGAGATGGTGGCTAATGCACGCCTTTCCGACGACTAAGACCTTTGCGGATTTGAAATCCTCATAGCGTCTTAATACGCCGAACAGCTCCTGCAAAACTTTGTGTGAAGCACCATCGGATGTCGAGGTCGTTGAGGGATTTGGTAGGGGGTCGGCGGAGGTGGCAGTAGCAATGGCAGTGGTGTGGTGCGCTGGGGGTGGCTCATCTTGACAGGAGAAAGAATCTCAGGTCAAGTAAGATAATAAACTAGAGTGGTTGAGTTGAAGGAAACTGAAAATGAGGTAGAGGACTTGTGTATTATGACAATGATTGTCTTGCAGCTTTGCATTGCCGCAGACTACTCTATACTTATACTAGATGATCACTCATGATGGAAGCAAAATGGCACATTTGAGAGTGCGCCTCCGACGCGGCAACCCCCCCCCCCCCACCTCCCCACCCCCAAAAGTCACCCCGACCACCACATCCCTCAAGCCCGAATGCATGCACAGCGATCGTGAAGTGATGTGTTGGCATCAATAGGGTCTGTGACTGCGCTTCGCTTAACATAACCTTCGTCATCGTAAAGACGATAGCGGACATGTTGGCCTCTGAAGGTTCAACGCTCCAACACAACTGGCCCTGTTTCTCATGCAAACCCGGGCAGCAGCAGTAGCCGAGACCGCTCCGATGAAATAGATCGTCCGATCTGAGTTGTTGGGCTAACCGGTGTTATTGAACTTTGCAGTTGGTGTGGAAAGGCACCGCGTATGTTACACTAAGTCTTAGTCGAACGCTCAATGGCTGGTAAGCGATGTCCGCTCCGGGACTGAGTGAACCGATGAGTATCCGGGCTATCATCAGATTTGGACCGCTACCAGCCATGCAACCATCATATCAGCAGCGTCAGTATGGTGAGGTACGATGCTCTATGAAATTTTGTCAGCCAGCGAAGGGGGAATAGTCAAGTCATATCATAGAGCTCTAGAGCGAGCATAGTGTGATAGAGACGATGCATCGATGAAGAGGAAGGGGAGTTTGGTCCAAGCGAGGAATGCGGGAGCCAAGCCTCCATGACAGGCTATCCATGTCCAGTATATTGAGCTTGAAGCTTTGGGTCGATCCGTGTTGACCCGGGAAAAAGGAATGAAAGATTGACGAGTAAACCATGAAGTGCTGCTTACTGCTAGAGACTGGAAACACAGAATGTGAGACATAGCCTACCAGACCAGATCTCTCATATAGACCGCTTCCTGCTCTTTCTACCTTTAGCACTTTCTCTTTATCCGCTCAAGCCGCCATATGTATCTTGGATGGCTCAAGTAGGCCTGCCAGCTCCGTGACCAGCCGTAGGACCTCGCAATACGTATAATGACACATGGGATACATGGCGGACTTACCGTAGATATGGATCGCCGCGTTCTAAATGTATTGTATTAAACAGCAGATGGATAGCCAGCGGAACGAGGGATTGTGAAGAAAGCTGGAAAATGCTGAAACGTTGACCAGTGTGATCTATCTCTCCTTAAGCTTTTCGCCGTTGGATGAGAAGAGAGACGCTGGTGCTCCGGACCCGGTGGTCGAATACCACCCCGCACTGTAGGGAGCCTTCAGCCACAAAAAGACATTGAATCCTGTGATTATCCGGAACAACCCGTCCTCAGAAGCTTCATCGATGCGGCCAGAGCGAGCTGACGAGTCCGGAAGGTTCAGAGCAAACGGTTTGGAAACGGCGTGAGATAAGAAACGAGAAATCACAATGACAGAGGCGTTTGAATGTAGTCAGCATACGTCACGCGAGCAGCTTTACAGCTCTGGGAATTGACAGGGTTGGTAGCTCGCGGAACGGCCTATGAGAGTTGACCTGGCTAGACACAAATCATACCGCTCCATCCTCAGCGAACTGAGCAAGCAGCCCTGACCCACAAAGTCGGAGGAGCAGGCACTTCTCAGGGGTAATCCAGTTCCCCGTGGAGGTTGCACTTGTCCAGTCCTACTCAATCATGTCAAATATTAGAGGCACAGCAAGCTCTAACGGATCAGGTCACGGACTTCAAGCCACAGAACGCAGTAACTGACGGCCATATTCTCCGAGCAATGTATGCTCGGGCACTAGGCCTGACCTGGTCTGTGTGCTGCTGCTTTCTACTGGCTAACTCGCCGGTTAAGGATTGTGCGACGATCTACTGTCGTCATCCTATGGCTATCTTTCATAGCAAGGCAGAGCGCACCATCGCTCTCTGAATAACCTTTAGGAGACGGCTGAACTGGTCATCTGGTTTCGCGACGCCACCTAGATCCAGAATCGTAGAGGTGTAAGATACTTATCAACTTGAGACACCAATCACAAGTCACACCAAGTATTGCGCCCATTCCACCTATCAACCTTTCCAGGGAGATGATATCATTGAGCAAATTCGGTCGCCGGCTGAAACTTTAGTGGCGTTACTCATCAGTTATAGTACACAGACACAGTGGGCCCTTTGAATGGACATCCGGGTATGGCACCATGACATCGGCACCAAACAGCCATGCAGATCCCCTAAGCTTTCAATCAGTCATCATCCCAATACAACGGAGAAGAATTGAGTTCCTCACCTCACATACTCTACGTTAGTAATGATTTTCGGACTTTGTATCACTTCATAGATCGACAAGAATACGGGCTCTGCAGTCTGGTTCTAAAAGTGGGCCTAGGCTCTGCTATGGCGGGATGAGTAGAGTAGAGAAACTGCATGTACGTTTGCTGATCATTTCATTCTTAGTTGAACTGGCTTGTCATAAGTAGGTTCTCAGACCGATCGGTCTCTGGTGGCTGTCATCGTCCGCTTTTCTTGGCCCTTCCTCTTCTCACTTCAGGAAACGGCTTGTATCAGGACGAAGTGGGAAGAGGATTAGCACGTGCCAGTGATGCTAGCTTTGTAAGCGGGGTTGGCAGAATGTGGAAACACGCATCTTTTGGACTTGAGGAGGACTAGGGTGGTGAGATGATGAGCGTGTAGGGAAACTTGCGGTTGAGATGCATGGCGGGTGCATCACCTGACCTGCTTTAGCATGGATTCTATAGACGGGTGCCCAAAGTCCCTGATGCGATCTTTATATATCTCAGAGGCTACTCCGCTTAGCTTTGAATACGGTTTGATTATGCGGTATAATTACGATAAAATGAGAGAGGTAATAGCATCTTCAGCCAAGGGAGACATATTTAATAGCATCCTCTAAGCTGCAGCAGGAGTAGATACATAGCATAATGACGACCCGGAGATCATGTAGATAATCGTGACGATGACCGAATTAGACATAGATACCCATGTTCGTGTCCTTCTTCTTCGCCTGTACTTCCGAAATGGCATCCACGTAGTTCTCGTGTCCTACTTTGCTCATGCCCTTCCGGAGAGCAATCATACCCGCCTCCACGCAGACAGCCTTCAGCTGAGCACCGCCAAACTCGTCGGTACTGCGGGCCAGTTCCGCCCAGTTAACCCGGTCATCCACGGCCATTTTGCGGGAGTGAATCTGCAGGATGTTGGCTCTCGCCTCCTCGTTGGGTAGCGGGAACTCGATCTTGCGGTCCAGACGACCGGAACGGAGCAGGGCGGGATCGAGAACGTCGACACGGTTCGTGGCCGCGAGGACCTTGATGCGATCATCCGAGGCAAATCCGTCGAGCTGATTGAGCAGTTCAAGCATGGTTCGCTGCACTTCACGGTCACCGGACTTCTCGGAGTCGAAACGCTTCGTACCGACCGCATCCAGCTCGTCGATGAAGATAATGGAAGGTGCCTTCTCCTTGGCAAGGGCGAAGCAGTCACGAACAAGTTTCGCACCATCACCGATGAACATCTGCACCAACTGCGGACCGGCGAGCTTGAGGAATGTGGCGTTGGTCTCTGCTGCACAGGCTCGGGCAAGAAGTGTCTTACCAGTACCGGGAGGTCCATACATTAGAGCACCTGTGAAGTGTGTCAGAAAGCCCGTGCTAGGCTGAAGAGACCAAGGATTGCATACCTTTCGGTGCCTTGATGCCAAGCTTCTTGAACCTGTCAGCCTCCTTCATAGGCCATACGATAGCCTCCACAATCTCCTCGATTTGCTTATCCAAGCCACCAATGTCGGTGTACTTCTCCGTCGGCTTCTCATCGACCTCCATGGCCTTAACACGGTTATCGTACTCGGCAGGTAGCGTATCCAGGACGAGGTATGAGTCCTTGTTGACACCAATGAGATCACCAGGCTTCAACTTCTCGTGATCTACTAGACCAATGAGAGGGAGATAGATAGTCTGGCGGGTCGACGTCTTGATGACAGCCGACTTGCCCACCCGTGTAGCATCAAGGTCAATGTTCGCCCCCTCCTCGGCAGCCTCAGCTTCAACATCCAAATCCAAAAGCTCGACGACGTTTCCGACCAGGTAGGGTAATTGCCTATCAAGAGAAACAGTTAGTAAATGACCCGAATTGCGCCGCAATTGCCACCGCGTCGAACAGACGCCAGCGGAACTGAAGGCCACGGGACTCAGAGCTTACCTGTTGTTCTCGATCTTTTCTTGGTTATCCTTAACTTTCTCTCGCATCGTGTTTTGCTCGTGGGTCAGGCGCTGGTATTCGCTCTTCATTATACGCAGCTCGTTCTCCAGCATCCGCCGTCGTTTGACGATGTCCGCTGTACTCGAGCTAAGGATCTCTTCGTCCAAGAGTCCATCGTCCTCATCTTTCTTGGCATCGGCATCTTTCATCTCAGCATCTCCTTCACCTTCGGGCTTCCTGCCTTCGCCGTCATCTCCCTGGTCCTTCTTCTTGTCTCTCTGCTCACGCTCAAGGTCGTCGAGGTCTTCCAAGGTCGACATGGTGGAAAACTAGAGTGCGGGCGTATGAGGTTAAAAATCGTAATAAGAGCGGAAAGGGTATCTGAATCGGGGGGGTGGGTGTGTTTTGTCGAAGGTGATGGACCTAGGGAGAAAGGGTTGGGGAACTTGAGCTGTGTTGGAGTCGTGATGCTTGAGCTCCGGCCAAACAACGTCAGCTGTCCTGCCTACGTCACGTGATACCATTACAAATAGCTTGCGCGAGTCCGCTTCGGTAAACACTACCAACAACGCTCAATGAGCTTTTCTTAGCCTTGAAATTTACAGAGGATCTAGGATATGTACACTAGAACAACCAACTGATGTCAATGTACAGTTATCAGCTGCCTGCACATACCCCCACGGAACAACAGGTTCAAATGTAGTAGTTGGGGTTATCCAGGGACCACTGGTCATTGCCGATGTTTCTTAGGACCTCCTCGCGACCGAATTTAAGAAGACGGTATCGTGAGATGAAGTCGTCATTATTTACTGTCCAGTGTCAGCATGTCGGTTTCTAGGACAGGGATACGACAACAAGAAGCATGTAACGGAAGGCCAGCAAAACATCCTGAAAAAAGGCATCCAAAGCAGTAAAGGATACTTACTATATCCACCGCACATCCTGCGCTTTCCTGTAAATTCCGAGCGACCGTGAAGCATTCTCCAATTGTCGAAGACTTGGGAAAATTAGTCCTGTTCGCAAACATCGTTCCCTGCAACAACTTACTGAGGGCTGTCCCTGGTTCAAGCTGTGTCC